GCGCACTATAATTGCACTCTGCAGCCAGAAGTGCGAGGACAGGCAAGGCCCCCACGAGCTGCGACCGAATCTAAAGTCGGGCCTGTCCCCCTACAGGGGGACTTTGGACGAAAAGTCGAAAGAATACCCCAAAATACTCCAGAGTGGCCTAGAAAATACTCGAAAAATCGTCCCCCGACTATTTTTTAACTATTTTTGGACATTCCCCCTGTAGAGGGACAGGCCCGACTTAAACCCAATCCTGGGCCGCCCGGCGGCCCCGCGGTGCGCGGCGCCGGCCGCGCGCGCGGCCGGCGCAGCGCCGGCGCCGGCGGAGCCCGGCGCGGGCACGCCCGCGGAGGGCAGCCGCCTGAGGGAGGCGGGGGCGACCAGCAGCGCGCAGTGGAGGAGGCGGCGCCTGCGGCGCCGTGCGCGCACGGCCACCATGCGCCGCCGCCTCGGTGTCCGCGGGGCGCGCCGGGAGGCCCCCCGCCCGCGCGCGCGGCGCGGACGCACGGGAGGGCTCGAGCCGAGCTGGCCTGGGCCAGAATGGTTTGTCGGCCCCCGACGCACCCCTCTTCCACACGAGCGTGTCGCACCACCCTATCTAGGCGTGCTGGCAGGGTGGAGTGGGCGCTCTCGCCAGAGGCATCGTGACAAGGGAGGGTCCTGCGGCTCGAGAGTGCAACGATTCCGTGGATGGAGGGCAGATCGTCTTAAAAATGTGGCCCTCGCCTTAGCACCGTAAGCACTTGCTGCAAAACAGGCGCCTGTTGCCAGGGTGGAGGTGAATGTTCATCATGTTGCGCTCGCCTTGCGTTGCGTTGCACACGTTCGTTCTATGTTTAAGCGACAATACACGGATGGAGGGCGGGACCTTTTCGAAATTGGGCACTTGCTTGCGGCTTCTGCAGGTGCTTCGGCAGAAAAGCTGAAGTGCGTACGACAAGTACTCGGAGGGAGGGCAGCTCCTTTCTCTCAGTTTGGCACCGTGCCCCCTGGCACGCTGAGGCGGGGTGGACTGCCAAGCGGCTCTGGTAGGATTTGAAACTTTTGTTTTCTTCTCAAGGACACCCCACACACCCTGTACAGTGCGGGTGCGGCCGCAAGAAATCCTCGCAAGAAACCCAACCCTGAGAACCCGTGCGCGAGGTGCACCGGAGGGGAAACCCAGAGCGCCCTGAACGCAGCAGCTCCTTCAACGGCCGCGGGAAGTCGCCGCGCAGCGCGAGGAGCAAAGAAACCCAGGATACCCCGACGAAAAGCATATGGTTTCTTGATGCGCGCCCCCACTGTACTGTTGGAGGCCTGGACATGGGCACCAGCACCAAGACAGGGGGCTGCCTCCACAGGGGGGAGATGATCTTGGACTTCGGTGTTGGTGGTGATGTTTCGGACACCTTGGACCCAGCATGTTGCCACAGTCGCCGAGATCGGGATCTCCCTCCCTCGGTGGAGGAACACCGCCGATAATACTGGTGCTGGTGTCAACCCCTAGGCCAGCGATACTGGCGCTCCCCTGCACGCATCGCCTCCAAGGCCGAGGCCGGAGGACCCCCCCCGCGGGGCCCCTCCTCCTCCTCCTCCTCCTCCTCCTCCTCCTCCTCCTCCTCCCCTCCTCCTCCTCCTCCTCCTCCTCCTCCTCCTCCTCCTCTCCTCCTCCTCCTCCTCCTCCTCCTCCTCCCCCTCACCCCTCCCCCCGCGCCATCTCCCCCCCCCACCCGGAGGAGCCACAGCCCAGCACTCTCTCTCTCTCCCGCGCGGGGCGCCCGTCGGCTCCAGCGCGCCGCTCGAATCCGGCGGCCGAGGGCGGCCCCTCCTAGCGGCCTCCCGCGCTGGGCCGAGGAGGGCCTCTCCCTGCAGGGACGCTGCGCCGGCCCGTCGGACGACCCGTCGGACGGCCCGTCGCGGACGGCCCTTAAGGAGACCCCCCGGACGGCCAAAACGGCCCACGGAGGGCCCAAGGGAGCTCCCAGACGGCCCAAGGGGCACCCCACGACGGCCAGAGAGGGCCCAAGGGGGAATCCCACGACCGCCTCGCCGAAGCCCAGCCCCGCGACGACCGAAGCGAGCTAGCTCTTTGAGAGCTCTTCAACAAGTACGGACGCAAGATGTCCCATGTGATGGCCGTGGTGTTCCTTCTCCTCCTCCTCCTCCTCCTCCTCCTCCTCCTCCTCCTCCTCCTCCTCCTCCTCATCATCATCATCATCATCATCATCATCATCATCATCATCATCATCATCATCATCATCATCATCATCATCATCATCATCATCATCATCATCATCATCATCATCATCATCATCATCATCATCATCATCATCATCATCATCATCATCATCATCATCATCATCATCATCATCATCATCATCATCATCATCATCATCATCATCATCATCATCATCATCATCATCATCATCATCATCATCATCATCATCATCATCATCATCATCATCATCATCATCATCATCATCCGCATCATCATCATCATCATGATCATCATCATCATCAGCATCATCATCAGCATCAGCATCATCATCATCATCATCAGCATCATCAGCATCAGCATCATCCTCATCATCAGCATCATCAGCAGCATCAGCATCTCCATCCTCGTCATCCTCATCATCTTCGTCATCAGTATCTTCCTCATCTTCTTCCACTTCATTATCATCATCATCGTCAGCATCATCATCAGCAGCATCACCACCACCACCACCATCATCATCATCATCATCATCATCATCATCATCATCATCATCATCAGCATCAGCATCATCATCATCATTATCATCATCATCATCAGCAGCAGCAGCATCAGCATCGTCGTCGTCATCACCATCATCATCACCACCACCACGACCACCACCACCACCACCGGCACCATCATCATCACCACCATCATCATCAGCATCATCATCAGCATTATCACCAGCATCCTCATCAGCAACATCAGCATCATCATCGTCCTCATCATCATCGTCATCGTCGGCATCATCATCAGCATCAGCATCATGATCAGCAATATCATCATCTTCCCACGTGAAAGCCTGACCTCCGAGAGTACTGGGCTGTCACGGTGGCGGCCATTGCAGTAGGCAGCTGGATATACTGCCGCCACAAACTCCAGTTGGATACACTGCCGACACGACTGAAAACTGCCGACATACGTGAGATGGGGCTCTGGCTGGATGGTATGATCCAACTTCATGGCACTTCTCATCATTAGCTACACGGACGGAGGACGGGTCTATTTCACAACAGGACTCTCGACCGAATCGCAGGCCCATGCGCTCGTCTTTCGAGAGAGGGCCCCCCGAAGCGAAGAGGAGTACTCGCAGGAACGTGTGAAGAGGCCTGGGAACGGGATGGCGTACTGCAGCATCCTTGTGGTCAGTCGCGTCCTCCCCCCTCCTCAGACGTAGCAACTTCTTCGCCACGCAGACCCCCAGGGATCTCGGCCCCTTCCAAGGGGTCAGCCTCTCGTCCTGAGGTGTTCCTGTCGGCCCCGGGTCCGGGAAAACGGCCTCCGCACGCCGAAACCGCAGAAGCGTGCCCGCCGCCATGGCTGGGCGACGCTCCAGTCCGGGGGCAATCCCCACTCTATAGGAAGAGGAGGAGGAGGAGGAAGAGATAAAGAAGAAACAGACAAATAAGGAGGAGGAGGAGGAAGAGGAGGAAGAGGAGGAAGAGGAGGAGGAGGAGGAGGACCTACCCCGATCCTGACAGTGCTCATCCTGGGCCCAAGATCGGTGCGTACGCCTCCCAAGCCAGGAGGGCGTGCACACCCGTCGCCTGTATTAGGAGGCCTCCCAGAGGGGGTCGGAGCAGATGGGGGTCAGAGGATCGCTCCGCATCGGCGACGCATCGGCGATGCATCGGCGATGCATCCACGACGTCGGCGACGCATCGGCGACGTCCACGTGGAGAAAATCGGGCTCCGCATCGAGCCGCATCGGCGATGCATAGGCGATGCGGCGCGACCATCCGACCCCGTCTGCTCGGACCCTATCCCGGAGGCCCAGATGTGTGCCGGCATGCGTTTTGCCGGAGATCCAGAGCGGCTCCGGGCGCCCGAGAGCGGGACCGCGCAGATGCGAGGGCAGCGGGTGGCGCTCGCGCCCTGAGGCCCCCAAAAGGGGCCGAGCAGCGTCCAGAGACATCGATCATCGTCGTCCTCCCTCCCCCCTCTCCGTGCATCTCCTCTCCCCTCCGCCCGGCCCCCTCGACCCCCTCCTCCCATCGCCCCTCGCCACATGCTCCCGCGTCGCTGTCCCACTCCTTCCCCAGAACCCCCCTCCCCCATCCCCCCTCCCTCCCAAGTCGCCGTGCTACTGCTTCCCCCCCTCCCTGCCCCCTCGAGGAGCGGGACGCGGACAAGGAGCACGAGGATGAAGGGCCAGCGATGACGAAGAGGATCGACAGACAACCGACGACAAAGACAATCGACGACAACGACGACGACGACGACAACGACGATCACGACGACGACGACGACAACGACGACGCCGATCACGACGACGACGACGACGACAACGACGAAGATAACGACGACGACGACGACGACGACGACGACGACGACGACGACGACGACGACGGCGGCGGCGGCGGCGGCGACGACTTATGACGTACGACGTACGGCATAGGACGTACGACCGACAAACTGCGACCGACGACGACGTACGACGTACGACGTACGCCGTACGACATACACCTAGGCCTGCGCCTGTGACCGACAACGCACGACGACAACGCACGACGACGACGCACGACAAACGACGACGCACGACAAACGACGACGCACGACAAACGACGACGCACGACAAACGACGACGCACGACAAACAACGACGCACGACAAACGACGACGCACGACCACAACGCATGACGTACGACGCTCGTCGTACGACGCCGTCCGCCACAGCGCGTCGCCGTCCGCGGCCGGCCGCCGCCGTCCGCCGTGGGCCGCCGTGGACCGCCCGTCGACGGCCGCGGGCACCGTCGGCGGCCGGCGGGGGCCGCCTTCGGCAGCAGGGCGGCGCGCCGCCAGAGGCCGCTCTCGGCCACGGCCTCGGCGGCCAGGGAGAGGAGCGGCGCGCCGTGCTTGCCGGGGAGCTTCGGGAGCACCTCGAGGGGAGGATGGAGGGCCTGTGTTCCGCCACCACCACCATAAGCTGGAGGGGGGAAGGAGGAGGAGGAAGAGGAGGGGGAGGAGGACGAAGAGAACCAGGAGGAGGAGGAGGTGGAGGAGGAGAAGGTGGAAGAGGAGGAGGAGGACCCCCTCCCCCTCCAACTTGCGGTGGTGGTGGTGGTGGTGGAAAACAGGCCCATCAGAGGAGGGGTGCCGTCGCAACACGAGCGGCGAAACCAGACGGGTCTAACGCACGATTACGTAGCGACCATACGCGGTGACCCACGCGGGCCCCAGCGCGGCACGCTGCGTTGGAAGCGAGGGCGCTCACGCGCGACCTTGCGCGAGCGACTCACGCGCGAATGTCCGCACAGTCGGACCCTTTTTTTAACCACGTCGCTCACATGGCCACAAGAGCGTGCGTCAAGAACACGAGCGCCCGTCGCCAAGGACCCGAAGCCCCATGCAGACACTCAAAACGACGAGCACTCCAGGGAGGGAAGCCCCGACAGGAAGAACACGAGGGTACCCCTCCAAAGCTGGGGTTCCCCTTGACCCTCGTGCTAGCTGAACTAGAGGAGGAGTCACGTTGCGCGTTGGCAGTGTCGAGGAGGGGGAGGAAGAGTGGGGAGCAGGAGGAGGAGGAGTAGGAGCAGGAGGAGGAGGAGGAGAAGGGGAAAAAAGCGGAGGAGGAGGTGGAACAGGAGAAGGAGGAGGACCCACACATCCGGCGCATCGAACAGATCGAGGCGGCCAGTTTCTCGTGCCATCGGTACTTCGTGACGCCTGCAATGCCTGCGTAGTCGTGGAATGCGTTTGCCACGTTGCCTGGTCATACTGCATGAGGTTTAGTTTGCCATGCTTGCAAAACCGTGGAGTGCTTCTCTCGCGCTCTCTTGCCATACGATCAAACATGTCCCCGAGCTTTGTCTGCCGTGGCGTCTGGCGTCTCGAAGGCGGCCGGCGCTGCGCTCGGTCCTCGTGGACAGGCGTGACGTGATGGCGCCTGCCATGGCTGATACTTCGTCTAAACGGTCTTCGCTGCATCTAGCTTTTCGCTGGCCAGCCTGACGTCGCCACGCATGCCGCGTTACGAAAGTCGCAGTTTACGTTGATCCATCTACGCATGATCTGTCAGTGTGTGTGTGTTCCCTGTGTGCGTTTTTACGCACTTGTGCGTAAATACGATATTTCTGCATGATGACTCATGTGTGTTGTTATGTTTGAGAGAACGCGTTTCGTGGACGCTTGACTGGAAAAAGCGTAACACGTCGGAACGAGGGGGGGCAAACCATGTGACGCCCCTGGAGAACTGGCCCCCCCCCCGGACACGGGCCTCTCTAACCGGGCAGGGGGGGGGAGGCCCTCAAGGGGGAAACAACTCAAATAGAGTCCCCCAATGGAGCTCGGTCGAATCCAACTCTACTTGAATCCTACTAAGGCTCGATCCAGCTCTGAAAGATTCCTACGGCAGTAAGATCCAGCCTCCATTGCAGCCTAGTACGTAAGGATCGATCGTCGACGTTGTCGTCGTCGACGTCGTCGTCGTCGTCGTCGGCGTCGTCATCGTCGTCGCCATCGCCGTCGTCGTCGTCGTCGTCGTTGTCGTCGCCTTCGTCGTCGTCGTCGTCGTCGTGATCCTCGTTGTCGTCGTCGTCGCCGTTGTCGTCACCATCACCGTCGTCGTCGTGATCCTCGTTGTCATCGTCGTCGTCTGCGTCGTCGTCGTCGGCGTCGTCAACTTCGTCGTCGTAGTTTGCCATTGGCGAAGGGTGGGGGGAGCTGGTTCGACCACTCGCCATGCAATTCTCAAGGGGAGAGAGGGGGGGGGCTCGCCCGTTTCGAACCCCAGGGGTGGGGGGGCCTTCCCTTGTGCAAACCAAACCCCCCCTGGATGAGAGGGGAGGCCCTACCCCCCCCCCCGGGTTCGACCCCCCCACCCACCCTCTTGCAACTCGGGGAGGGGGCCCTCTCTCGCAGCATCGAACCCCCCTGAGGGGTGGGGGGGCCGGGTTCGAGCCCCCCCCACTTGCATCTAAGGGGGTTTGGCGGGGCGGGGGGGCCAGTTCGACCCCCTTCGCAGAGTCCAAAGAACGCGATCTTTCCTATGCTTGTTGGCTGTGTACGTTCTGTATGTATCGTCGGGTTGGCGTGACGTCGTGGCGTCTGTCGCGTGTGAGTAGTAATGAGATGTTTCTGCGAATAGATCGTACTAGATTGTATGGTAGTTTACATGAATCCTGTGTAACACAACTCAGACTGTTGATTGGTGTTTCGAATTGTGTTTCGTAAGTGTTCATGTCGTGTCTTTCGTGTGTACGTGTGCTATGTGTTATGTGTGTCCGGTCTGTGCGTCTGATGTTTGCAGGTATGTTACGTGCATGTTCAGTACATACGGCACCTGTGCATGTTGCGTATGTGTTGTGTGCATGTGCGTGTCATGTAAGGGTTACGTGCGCGTGTTGCTTATACAAGTCATGTACACATATATATGTGCATAGATAAACGCTATGCGCGTCTGGTTCGTACGTTTGGTGTGCTGGCATGTGACATGTATACGATCTGCGTATCGTTCGTAGGTGTGTTGTGCATGTGTTCTTGATGCGTGTTGTCTCTGCCTGCTCCTGATGCGCAGTATGTGTGTATATGCTCTCCTGTCTGGTATTCACGTCGTTTCGTTAATTAAGTCGTCATTCGTCGGAGGCGCGAGGCGGGATCCCCAGGGATCACCGAGATCCTTGGGCCTGACAGCCGCGGCATGCAGTCGTCATTCGTCCAAGACGCGAGGCGCGATCCCCAGGGGGTCACGAGGATCCTCTGGGGCCTAGCGGCCGCGGTGTACGCGGGATGAGCGAGGCGGATCGGGAACCTTTTCCTTTGTCTACCAACCCAAACTGTTGGGTGGGGGAAAACAGGCGTGCCCTCGAATCTCACTTCTCGAGGACCCCAGATATCCGACGCCTCGACGAAACAAGGCTATCGCAATTTGGGTTCTCGGGGAAACGATTTCGGGCCTCGCGAGGCAGTCAAGAAGCCGACTCGGAGCCAAAAAACGACCCCATGGGGAATGGATCGGCAGTTGATTGGCGCACGAATAATTCGCCGGCCCAACGGGCCAGAGGCGTGCTAAGATCTCCGGTAACTTGTTAACAATATTCTAGTTCGCGCGCGCGGAGCGGCCCCTGGGGGCCCCCGGACGAAAAGTACCCCGGCAAGGTCCCGAGAGAAGCCCGGGAGAAGCCACCAGACCACTCCAGGGGAGGGTATTTTTCGACACCCCTCACGAGGATCGTGGCCTCCGAGGGGGGAGCCGCAATCGACTACCCCCAAGAGCCCCCCAAGAGGCCCTGGGGGCCTCCAAAACGCCGCCAAGGAGCCCCAAGAGACTCCCAAGAGGTCCCCAAGAGGCCCCCAAGAGGCCCTAAAGAGGGCTCCAGGGCCGGCGGCATGAGCGAAGCGATTAAATAATAGAACATGAACTGTTATGCCATCGGGGACGCCTGTCCCGCGGGCGGCTGGAGCGTTTCTACCCCTACGGTGACACGTCGGGAATGAACTTTCCAGCCGCCCTGGGACAGGCGACAGGCGCCCCCACTGGCAGGAAGGAAAAAAAAACTTCACTGGCAGGAAGAAAAATGTTGTACCCACGTTCGCACGCTGGAAATGAAAGGCCCAGAGGCCAACGCTTGGGAAACATCGGGGCATCAGATGTCCGGGACCTCCTCTTAGTGGCGGCCGCCTCTTCACTCCTCGTGGACGCCAGCAACGAATACGAAGAAAAGCCGGATGCCCAAAAGCGAATGTCGTTCCAGACCGACAGCAGCCGCTGCAGGGCAGGCGACATCGTATCTCCAACGGACAACGTCTGCGGCGGCACCGATAGCAAGTATGTTTGTGTATATGTGAAATGCGATGATGATAACAATCATGATAATAATCCTACTACTACGACTACTACTACTAATAATAATAATAATAATAATAATAATACATATAATGAAGGTAATACTAATAATAATACTAATAATAATAATAGTAATAATGATAATAATGATAATAATAATAATAACAATAATGGTAATAATAATATTGATGTTAATAATAATGATAATAATCATAATAATGATGTTTATATCAATGAGAACTATCCTGGCGAAAGACCCAACCATATGAAGTTGTGGGGACCGCGAGTGTGAATGTCTTCTTCGGTGAAGCTCCCTATGGGACCAAGAAATGCTGCAGTGGGTGGGGGAACGCATGCGGGCCGCAGCACTGGGGCCGTCGGTGGATCTCCCTATGGGGCCACGCATCGCTGTACTGGGTGGGGGGGACGCATGCGGGCGGTAGCATTGGGGCCTTCGGTGGAGCCTATGGGACCACGACACGCTGTACTGGGTGGGGGGGTCGCATGCGGGCGGTAGCACTGGGGCCGTCGGTGGAACTCCCTGTGGGGTCACGAAACGCTGTACTGGGTGGGGGGGGGACGCATGCGGGGGGGCCTTCGGTGGAGCTCCCTATGGGGCCACGACACGCTGTACTGGGTGGGGGGGACGCATGCGGGCGGTAACACTGGGGCCGTCGGTGGAACTCCTTACGGGGCCACAAAACGCTGCACTGCGTGGGGAAACGCATGTGGGCAGTAGCACTGGGGCCTTCGGAGGAACTCCCAATGGGGCCACGAAGCGCTGCACTGGGCGGCGGAACGCATGCGGGCGGTAGCACTGGGGCCGTCGGTGGAGCTCCCTTCGGGTCACGAAACGTTGTACTGGGTGGGGGGGACGCATGCGGGCGGTAGCACTGGGGCCTTCGGTGGAACTCCCCATGGGGCCACGAACACCTGCAGTGGGTTGGGGGAATGCATGCAGGCGGTAGCGCTGGGACTTTCGGTGGAGCTCCCTATGGGACCACGAAATGTGTACTTGGTGGGGGGGGCGCATGCGGGCGGTAGCATTGGGTCATTCGGTGGGGCTCCCTATGACGCCACTACACGCTGTGC